AGTCACTGCCTAAGGGAGCGAATAGCTGTGCGCATAAAGACTTAGCTTGACCCCCATTGAGCTGACAGCTTTATAATTGTTTCATCGCCAGAATCATCATTTATATATTGTCTTTGTCTAGACATTTTAGCACAATAGAAATTATAATTTGTTTAATCTACCCGTCAGGTCACGGACAACCCACTGTGGGTAGAATCTCTTGTTCAAACAAGCATACCTTAATGAGACATTTTATAATGCAAGTAATTGCCCTCATCAAAACACTGAATAGTGACGAAGGGAAGGGGACATTTAGTTTCACTGTCTTGGCGACAGACACACACGCACACACACAAAAAAAGAAATGTTACTTCGGCAGCCCAAACGTCAAAGTACGTGTCGCAAGGGGTTAAAACAATATGACAAAGAAAATGATGACGGCGTTTTCTCTTGATCATCTTTACGTTTATGCAGGTTTGAACAAATGTGTGTCATTCAAAAGCCAGGTGTTGAGCGTCATTAACCTTGCGTTAACTATTGTGAGATATACATAATACACACAGAAACCTAATGAAACAGATAGCGTCATTGCTCTTGTGATTTATAAAAGATTAAACGCGTCGCTTTTTTCTTTTCTTTCACTTTTCCAAAACCTGTTTGAGTGGATTTGTAATTATTTACCAGTACGCCCTCGATACATGGCGCCCGCATTCTTAAGCTGGCGGGTTAAACTGTGACGCCGAAACTTCAATCAAATGCAGCTTTTGGATCGCCCGCAAGTTCTGCATAGGCGTACATTTATACAACTTCCTTCTGTTTCACGTTTCGGGCACGCCATTTTTTAATTCACACCTGGCTAGGTGCACGTTTCTCTCCTACACGTCTTTTCCGCTGAGTGGCGTCGCCTCCCCGCAAGTTACGACGTCCCAGAAAGTCGCGGTGTAAGGTGAGAGGAGGGAAAATAATCTCGGGTTTTGTTTCAGTTTCTGTCTTGTCTTCTATTCCGCCGTTCAGCGCTGTCGAAGACGCTACGCCGCCTACTGTATACATAGAATCAAACTCGCTGCAAACCCTTTCGTGTAACCCATGGCTCACAATGTTACTGGCCCCTAATTCCTCCAGCCATCGGTTACACCTACTTTTCTAGACCTTCGTCACCTCCGAAAATATTTCAGTTCTATGAAACTGTATACTAATGTTTCTCATGGCACCTGTTTTTTTGCGTGTTTTTTTTTTTTTTTTTTAGCGTGAATGAAGTTTAAACTTTCAAATCAAAGAATAACTTGAACTACCGGCCAAGAGTAGCTCTGAACCTCAAAAGTTGTTCAGGTCACTATATAAAGTGGGTGTATCTTCAATTTTTGCCAGCTAATAAAAGGTGTTTAGTACTTTTTCTTAATTATTGAGCTTCAGACGTTTGGACTCATGTGTCATTCTAAGCATCCTGTGGCATGTGGCTTCTGCTCAAAGGATTCTGAGGGCCGGATCCTAAGGGACATAACACAGACGCTTCACCCTTGCTGTCTTCTTTATTCCAAAGTAACCCAGCATTGTATATCATTATTTTGAACCAGAAATTATATCCATGTATACGTAAAGGAATTAATATTCCTCGGACTGACTTTAAAATTTTAATCACGAGTACACAGACCTCTAACCGAGGTTCAACTAAATAAAGCATGGTGACAGTCAGTGGCTTGAGATCAAGGAGGGAGGGGGGAGGAAAGAGGGGGGAGGTGGGACAAGCCCCCCCCCCTTGCTTTCAACCATCTGTCCAATAGTTCCGAGGTCTTTGGTTATTCTGGAAAGTATATAAGTGTGTCGTTCACGCGTAGTCGTTCCTCTTTCTTTTAATGTACCATTTCAAGCTTCACTAAAAAATAGCTTGAGAACAATCAGGAGCTGTTCGAAGTAATGACTTTAAAGTGTCATGTCACCTGATCTGCACGAAGATGGTGTTAAAATTCAAACGCTGTTGACGCGGTAAGTAGCTTTTATGCAGCACATCGGAAGCGTGCTTTCATCGTTGCGCGAAACCAGGCACGTAGCCAGGGGGTGGCCCATGGGGCCCGGCCCCCCCCCCCCCCCCGAAATCTGCCATTTTGCTGGGACCTCCTCTCCCCACTCCCCCTCATACAGAATTTTGTCATGGGCGGCCTCCCGCCCCCCGCCCCCCCCCCCCCCCCCCCCCCCTTCCCCCGAAAGAAAATCCTGGCTACGTGCCTCCGCGAAACCACCTAGGGATAGTTCCAAGAAGAAAGGGCACGTCGTCGTCACATCACGCCTGTTTCCCCCCCTCTTTCTATCCTGCACCTTGAGCTTCGCGCAAATTAAACGACATCTGTTCGTGGAGACCGATCACCAAAGCCCGGTTTAATATTTTTATGATGTTTCCGAGTTATTTATAAATCCTTCGGCAAATGCCACCTTTGCAAATAGGAAAATAGAACAAGACAGAGTAGATGCTAAGAAAAGCGACTGAGCATCTAAGAACTCTGCGAGCTACGTCGAGTGACTATATTTGGATATTAATAAGTTGAAGGTCCAGGCAGGGAACGGCTGTGGACCAAACAATCAACTCCTTGTTGTGCCGGAACTGAAGTGAGAGACTGAAGTTCACCTCAGGCTTAAACATACATCGTCGAGAACACACCAGGATAAAAGAGGAGTACGTGGATTACTGCATACAGAGAAACGAATTAAGTCATCATGATATAGCCATATGCTCAAAGATATAAACTAGTCTGGGCTGAATTAGCAGTGGATAAAGTCTAGTGTCAGTGAAGGTGCCTAAGACAGCAAACATTCGCAATATAAATAAAAAATGATTCACAGAGGCATGAGCTCTCTAGTGAAAGTGAGCATCTCTAATATGGGTAATAAAGACGGTGCCTCCGGGCTAGTGATAAAAAATGGGCATGAACATAATAACGATGTCACTCCTACATCAGAGGATGATAATTAAAAAAACTATATTGCCGAGGGGTCAAACGAACTACTTAAAAAGAACTCTGTTTTTTTTTTTTTTTTTTTGCCAATTTAGGACACAACGGTTTACTTAGGAAACATTCCGTAACGTGTTTTGTCGTGTCCTTAAACCTTGTTGTTTCAACGTTTGTTTTAGATATACCCAACGATAGCAGCAACGTGTTGCCATTCGTAAAGCAGATTATTACGGCTTGATGTTTCTATATTTCCATTCTTAAACGCTGTGCGTCTGGTGAAAAACGAACATAGATTGCAGATATCGTGAGCATTAAGATCGTTGTCATTACTGTAAGCAGGCAAAATAAGATCATTCATACTTCAAGCAATTAAACGTTAGTTTTCGCATATCCTGGTAAACTTTCCTTTATCATGAAATTGCAAGTTTTTATAGAATACACACCCACGACAAATATATTTACTAAACAGAAGCTCGGTACCGGTTTTCTGAAATTGTCCAAATGGTAGGGACATCTTAAAAGTTCACTCACTTAAGAAACTACCAAAATAAGGAAACCATTTTAAAAACCATATTCATAATAAGGGCGAGATTTATACGCCTAACCTTATAAAAAAAGGTAACCAAAATACAGTGATTATGTTGTATTTTTTAATATATATTATACAGTAATCTCGTTTAAATATATATATATATATATTTGAGGTGAGAATTCGCTCTTATTTGGTTTGTTTGCTCACATATATTAATTTTTTTGTTTGCGTGGCACTCAGGTATTTTGATACTAAATTTCAGCATAGCACAGCCCGTGTCCCGCGAGCGCCGCTAAAGTAATTCTCGAGCAACCTTCCACACCGAAGTTTCGCTCATACCTCTAGGCTCCATCATGATAAAGCATTTCGCCCAGTTTTAAATCCCACCGTTCACGAACAAACACTTAGTCAGAAATAATGTTCTCGCAAACGTTGGAGAAAATAACGATACAATAAACTGTCCTTGAACACTTCCGTGTTTTTAAGCTTGAAACATCGCGTCGAGCACGAGCACTCACGAACACCAATTCGAAGTATAAAATGCGCTTATCAACACGAACAAATCTCGGTGCGCAAACAAATTAGCGAGCGCATTTTTCGAAGGAACGGACGCACCTCAAAAGGGCCGCCGTTGACTTTGAAATCACGGCAGTGCATTTTACGCCCACCGGACACAACGGAGCATAAACGATGCATAGGGGACAGAGTAAAGACATACTGGTACCACGCCTTTCGCCCAGTAGCGCCCGGAGCCAAGACCGATTGTTTGGGCGACAACAACAACGAGAAACAGGCTGTCGGTGAACGACGAATAACCGAAGGCAGGTCTATGTTTGGAGATCGAGGAGCAAGGACCAATCGAGTGCCTTAAGGCTGAGCGTAAAACGGCGCGTGCCTCCAGCGACGGAACCTCATTAGGCGATACCGCATGCCGGCTATATCGTTCGGAATCTGGCTGCCTGGGCAACAAAAGAATTTAGTAAAAAAACAAAAAGCTCGATCAGGCCGCGGGACATGCCCAATTAATCCAAGGGCTCGCGGCTCAGAAGCAAACAGCTGAGCGGGTGTCAAAAAATTACGTACGCGCGGACCGTGGCAACACCCTGAGTGACCCTGCAAGGCTTTTGCTCCCCCCCTCCCCCCTCTGTGGGTTTTCGGAGCGTTCATTTTGTTCGCTGATGGCGATCGGCGAAAAAACCGCATAGCTTCCCCATCAGCGCTCGAGTGCGGGGCAACTCCCTTCAAATTGGTCGCCCTTGCCCAGCCTTTTTCCTCTTGTCGTTTTTGTGTCAATTTCTGAAGAGTTCTCGAGGGACTCATTGAAACGTCCTGCGGAAGGTTAGCCGGATCAAGCGCGCGCCACAATGCAACAGCGGCCGATTATGTGGGGCCCTTCTTTTCCCCCTCACCCCCCTGGATTTTTTTCGTGGATCACGTGGCTTTGAAACAATCGGAGCGACGGGCGTGGTGTATATAAGGGGGCAGGTGGCCGGCAAGGGACACCACGGATCAGCTGCCGCAGCTCTCTGGATACCGGACCCAAGATGAAGGTGAGAATGACCACTGCGAAGCTACGACGAGCCGACGAACCACGGACACTGGATTTGCCACGGTTGGATTAACTCAGATTCGGAGAATATATTTGTACGGGCAATTAGCTTTCGACTAGATGCAATGATAATGAGAGCTATAACAAATCGGCCTCGAAGGAAGCCAAGGTCAAGTTAGCTTACGTTCCCAAGGTATTCTTACTCGCTAAATAATTTGTTATTATTACTTAACGATTTGCCAAACGTATCTTGGATGATTGATTGGGTTTAAATATTTGTTCATTATCAGTTAGGACGCCAATTGAACAAGAGGTCAGGCAGAGCTCAACGACTACGTGATCTTTGCTACGCTCCTCAGCCTTGTTTCGTTTCTTTTCTTTTGCTTACTTGCGTTATTGAATGATAAATTTACGCCGAATAATATCAGAGGCGCAGCTCTAATAATTGGGTAAGGAATTTACGGATTTCTCTTTGTCAGCTGTGAACTCTTCCAAAATCTCTAGGCTTTTGTTTATACGTGTCATTTTTCCAATGCCATTGAGTATATTGCCGTCACCCGGTCCCACGATGATTAAAGAATATAACTAAAGTAGCCAAAGGTCAGAAAATAATTTCCCTTCTGCGAAAATTAATCAAATCATCAAATTAAAAGTGCGATCGATTTTGTTGGCACAGACGTGATTATGCTACATACGCGATATTCAATTTCAAAAGTTCAAGCCCGGTGACGACCCTTTCTCAAACTGCGACGTGACCCCAATCCATCAGTCATCGAACGAAAACGTGGAGCAATCGTTGACCACGCAAATCGTAAATAAGCAAAGCAATTTAAAACAAAAGAAAAAATTAGAAAAGAGCCACGACGAGCGACTCGGTAGATTTGTTTGGTTTGTACCGGGGCGCCTCTTTATCCTATTCCTTAGAGTCGCATAATTTGTTATTATACCTAATGACGACATCACGTGACTGCTGGAAAAATTCAAAAATATGTCATGATTCAGAATGGCGGCATATTGCCGTCTAACGATAAGAGAGTGAGCCAGGTGGAGACACAGGTACCCGCTTGTAGTAGGAATTAATATCCGAGGCAAGATAAATACAAATATTTATTTAAAGTGAGCTTTGCTGATACCGAAATATGGAGGAAAAAGGCGTTCCACGCCTGTATATAGAAAGAGAAAATTAAAAAAAAAACATCTTCGCGTGTTATCACATATTTTTTGAGGAAATACTCCATAATCAAATAGATACATTAATTAAAGTTTCAATCATTCCGCTCTTAAAACATTGTAAAAGAGTAATTTAGTGTTGCTCTTATCGATGAGGTCAGGGGCTTCATAGCACCGTATTTATTATTTCGTAGGTATTGAAAGAATAACGGCGTTGTAGAAGTTGCGGTGCGATGGCGCACCGCAACTTGTACAGCGGCACTGCTTCCATTGCGACCTCATATAAAATAAACCTATCATGTTTTTCAATATCAACAAATCAGGGAAGATTATGTTGAAACCTTGAGGTATATTAGCGTTATTTTTATCGTGAGATGGCAATAATGCCTCACTTTACGCTTTGTTCAATTAACGTAAGAAGTGCTAAGAAAATTAGCAAGTAGTATGGGTGAATTTTCTTGAGAGATTTTCTTCGTGTGCTAAATAGTGCTCTGAAACAAAAAAAAAAAACAATCAACAGGAAGATGACACTGAGTTACTATGATTACTCTTTAGTAATACTTTTTTTACCACTTTGTGCACGCGCACACTTCCTAGGGTCTCCCAGCTGTTTATGAAGTAACAAAACACAAATTGATTGATGTATTGTTTGCGAATTGATTGATTGATTCATTAATTCAATTGATATCTGTCCATCCAGGTTATCATTCTCCTCGCCGCTCTTGCTGTCGCCCACGCTGGCTTCGTCGGCCATGCCGGCTTCGGCTACGGCCACGGTGGCTACGGCCACGGCCACGGCCATGTCGCTGTCGCTAAGGTGGCTGTTGCCGCCGAATCCGGACACTCCTCCCAGCACAGGTCTCAGGATGTGAGTTGAACTCTGTCGTCTCCTACTTGCCTGCCATGCTGCGTTAACGTATTAGCAAGTACCTCCTCAACGGGAACTGAAGGGCTCTATTTTAAAAGCTGCAGCGTTTAATTTGAATTGTTAGGAAGAATTCCGGACGCTCTTTCCTTGGGGTGAGAGGGTGTGAAAGACTTCCAGAAATCCACATTTGAACTTTTTTTTATAAAAACGTGAAGCTTCGTGGCTCCCTTACTAGAGTGATATATGAGTTAAGAATGGTGGCAGTTTGCTATAAAGTTCTCTAAAAATTCAGAGGTCTTTCTACATTTTTATGCCTTGCGCTTTGAATGTCCTCTTCTCGTAGAAGCTGTCAGATGTCATGTTCCGCCATAAAACCTTCTGCAGCAACGATAGCAGCCATTTATGCTCTGAGAAAGTGAGGAAGAGAAGGAGACGAGAGCACACGGGGACGTCAGGATGCCGAGCTCTGGTTCTGCACTGCACGCGTCGAGCGCGTTTGAATGCGAGAGCCGATCGTCGGACGCCGGCGATTCGCGTTCTAACGCGTTCGAGGAGTGCAGTGGAGACAAAGGCAGCTAGGTTTAGGTTTACCCACGAATCCTTCCAACCAGAGCTCAGCGATTTGTTGTTCACGCGCACTCTCGTCTTCTATACTTTCTCTCAGATCCTCGAAGCGTAGTCACTCACGAGGTGAGAGCGGCATAGAAGAGCTTCCGTTTTCAAGCCTCCAACCCGAGCTTCCTTCCTTGGACAACGGTCCTGCGTCTCGTGCACGGAAAACGTACTTCCATACGTTTTCCGGTTAACCCTTGGTGATTAGTTCATTATTGATCATCGGGTCGCCTTCGTTTGTGACAATATTACTAACCAACACCGGGTTTCAGTCGACATCAGATGCGGGAGAATGACTCGAGAAATGGATGTGCTGATCTGCTGCTCACCTAACACTCTCCCTATTTCTCCCCAATCTTGTAGCTGAAGGGCAACTACAACTTCGGATACAAGGAGAGCCACACCAGCGGCGGCTCCTTCCGTCAGGAGTCCGGAGACGCCTGGGGCAACAAGGTCGGATCCTTCGGTCTCACCGACGCCGACGGTCGCGTCCGTGTCGTCAAGTACGTCGCCGACGGCCACGGCTTCCGCGCCCATATCGCCACCAACGAGCCAGGAACCGCCGCCTCCCACCCTGCTGCCGCCTCCTTCAGCGCTCCCCACAAGGTGCCCGCCGTCGGCCTCGGAGTCGCTAAGGTCGCCGTCGCTGCCGCCCACCCAGTGGCCTCCTACGCCGTTGCCCCAGTCGCATACGGTCACGGATACGGACACGGTGGATACGGACACGGTGGATACGGACACGGTGGATACGGACATGGATTCGGGCACGGAGTTGTCCTCGGCCACGGTGGATACGGACATGGATTCGGCCACTTTGGAGGCTACGGCCATGGATTCCACGGTTAAGCTATAAATTTCGTGTTTAGAAGTATTCGTCTGTCCCTCTGTTTTCCTGCCCCTGTCCACTGTTCGTCCAGCTGCCACTACACCTCTTTCTGTCGCTTCACTGTCCGACTTTCCTTCTTTTGTGTGTGCGTACTTTCTACTGTCCCTAATTTATTTCCTTCCTTTCCGTCCGTGTCTCAAAGTACAAAATCGCTCTTTTATTGTGCAATAAACGTGCGTTTTTTCGAGCCCCCCAAAAATCGTCTGGAGCCTGGTCACTGTCGTTTGCGATGTAGACTGCTATGTAGGATTGTTGAAGTGCTTCAAACAATAAAGTTGCGTTTATATTTGTATCGTTTGTCGTCTGCTTGACCGTTATACAAAGTGTCAAATAATTAGCACAGTGATGAACCGCGAAAAAGAATTAAAGAGAAGTCGGCCATGAAGTAAAGTGGCTACTTCACAGTCCGACTAAAGCGCGAAACACATGTACGACGAAACCCTCCGATCCGACGTCCGACCGCGCAATACGGCGGTCGGAGGCGAGGGTTTTCAACGCTCTCCGATGCTACGAAAACCCTCTCCCCCCAAGGTCATTCCGGCAGTCCGCACGTCGGATCGGACGGTTTCGTCGCACATGTGTTTCGCGCTTAAGCCATACTAAGAGTAGTTTAAGACTTCACATTGTTGCTATCGGCGTGTATAATACCTTACGTGATTGGGTGCAACTTACCAAATTTCAGAAGTCTTAGATATCGATTAACACTGAGCATATCCAGTAGATTTCGTTCGTCAAACATTTAATGTTTTGTATTCTCTATGTCACGCGATAAAAGTCTGCGACGATCACAAGAAACATTGTGCTCAATTGCATAGCATGAATTGTCGACAAGCTCATTTGGTGCATAATGCAGCGCTGACAAGCGGGTTACCAAATAAAGTAACCATGTATAGAGCGTCCTAATAACAGTATGTATGAGAGTTAGCTGTTGACTGCATAACTATATAAAAAAAAAAACTTGAATTTACAGTTCCGCCACTGAAGGAACCCAGAAACATTTAGATTCCCATTAAATATTATCTTCACTTTTTATGAGCTATCTTAACGTCGTGTTTAGCTTGCTGGAATATCTGCATTACATATATCCTGACCTACTTCAGAATGCCTATCTACAGCGGGTAAGGATATGTTTTCTCGTTCTCAGCACAGCTTCTTTTAGCTTATTGCAGTGGTTGGTTCTCCACGTGCTTTGAGGGGATATAGGTTAGTAGATTTTAATATGTTTAGCTTTGGTTTTACCAACTTTCTAATACAAATATATGCGCAAATAATGTATCTAAAACAAACCCAATCTTGTGCCCAAGTGCATGGATTCGTCCGTACATTTAGAGTGTCAGACGCCATCAGTATAGAATAACCCGCAATATGCTGTTGCGTGCGACATGGCTTTCATTATGTGATTGTCGAAAAACAGTATGACGCCATGACCAAAATTAAATAAAAAAATATTCAAAGTTGTTTTTTAACTTAATGTTTTATTGGGTACTTAAAATTAATACATCTGTGCAGTCACTCCCGCTGCCTCATATCTCATGTGTCGAACATCTTAGAAAACGTACTTGACATGTCCTCCTCCGTAGCCACCACCATACACCTTTTGAGCTTGGGACGAAGCGCACCTAAAGGCAACTGGGCAAATATTGACCGGACCATACACTTGTGCGGCGGTGGCCTGACCGGAGACACCAACACCAGTGTAACCAGCCGTGCTCGGAGTGTAAATTCCGCCAGAGGCAGGCAAGCTGCTAAAAGGTGTGAGCACATAACGTGGAGATACAGGGGCAGTGTATACTGGAGCAGTCTCCACACGAGCCGAATACGCCGTCGGTCCTGCTGCAGGAGCGTAGTTAAATGGTATACTGACAGCCCCGTTAGCGGAAGCTGAGTTTACGGCCTGAAACGATGACGGTGCAACCGAGTAGGCTGCTGGAAAGACAGCACTGCTGAACCTGGTAACTCGCGGGGCTGATGGCGCTACAGTGTAACGTAGAGGAGCAGCAGAAACTGCGGTGTACCTAAGCGCAGCGTTTACTGGGGATACTGCTTGCGGAGACGCTGGTGCAACGGTGGGTGTCTGTCGGTACAGGGTTTGAACTTGAGACTGTACGGGATACGAGACCACTGCGGGAGCTGCGTAAAAGCCGCCATTTCTTGGTGTGGCTGATACTGGGGTGCTGGCTGCAGGGGCTGCTGGGGCCGAGTACACCTGGGATGGTCCGGACGAGACGGCAAACGTGGCTACAGGGGCCGATAAGAAGGCTGGTGCTGCGGGGACCGCATTGACGTTGGCCGCTGCCGCTGAGGGAGGGGATACACCGGAGTGCGGGGCCGAATTGAGTTGGGAAAAGCTGCTGGTCCCTCCGGAAGAGGAGAAAGACGCAGCCCCGACTCCGTTACCAGTAACCGAGGTGCGGTGCTGATCATTGTTGTGGCTGTAGTAGATGCCGTTTCCCTGGAAGATCGAAGGGAAAATTTTACCTTTACATATAGTCACGGACAGAACAAGAGTGGCAGGGAGGGCTTTCTACTCTGCAAGATTTCTACTCTAGATAACATTAGGTATCTCATGAGCTCCAAGCGTGCACATGCAGCGAAAGCAAAGCAGAAAGCAACGATTGTGTGCTGGAGGCTAGACACCTGAAATAGAATCTCTGAGCTTATTTTCCTGTCCGAGAATATATAAGCAACCCGTGTAATGATGCTCTCAGATTCTAGTCTTTCAAATCGGCATGATATATGAGCGTAAGTGTTCACTTCTATTGTTTACTAAGATGTAGTCGGACACCATAGGGCGTTGTCCCGCTTACACGTGCAAGCATCTTGTGACGCATTCTGCATTGGGTGTCAGTGAGACCATTGTACTTCAAAAGGTAACCGAAGTACAAAAGTGTCCGCCCCCCCCCCCCCCCTTGGCGGTTTCACTCTCTGCGATAATGCGCCTCGAAAATTTGAACAATGAACACTCAAATCAACCTTATGTAAAGGAGATTAACGATGTGGCCGTAACTTTACAACGTCAATCGATACCGGCAACTAGACACGAATAAAAAAAGCTGTTTCATAATATGCACAGAGAGCAATAATTTTGTGCGCATAGCCTTTATGCTGGGCGAAGTTACGTGCAGCAATAAAGATAGTTTAATGGCGTACTTACGCCAGCGGATTGCTCAGCCTGCGAAGACGCATCTTGGACGGAGACCGCAGGAACAGTGAAATAGCCGGCCCTCGCTCCGACAAAGAGAGCGAGCAGGAGAAGAGCCTGAAAAAATTCCAGAACAATATCTGCGGGTACATCGCGGCATACTAATGCGAACAGAAACAACTGGAATGGATGGTAAAGATCAACTTTGTAGTTTGCCCTTTAAGTAGGTCGTCTGGATACAACCATTGTGGGCTAATATGCCGCGCCGCGCCTTTGGCACATGTGGACGGCCCAGAGCATGGCGAATGAAAGCGGTTGTTGGAAACACGGTCGCGTCGTTATACATCACGGAAACAAAGCGAAAGCTCAATCATGCGGCGATCAGTTGAATGGCCTTTATTGGTTGTTTAAGAGAAATGCCGGTCAATTATATAGGGCCTTAACCGTAACTTGGCTCGCGGGTGCTTCAACCGGTTAAACTATAAGTGCTAGAGAAACAGCGCTCACACTGGGAGTTTAAGCGATGCCTTAGACTAATAATGATAATTTTTTTTTAATTTAGCGAATAAAACCTACCAACACAGTTCTGTTCTTAAATGCTTCGTTAAATAAAAATAACTTCAGCAAACGGAAGTGATCAAAATATGTAAGTTTCGTTTCCGTATAACGATTATCAACGAACATGGCAGAATTTTTATTACTCCTCCGTTCATTTACAAACAAGAAGGAATGGTGGACTTGTAGGCAAGTCGCTTACGCACATATCACCAGTAAAAGTTTGTTTTCAGACGCCTGCATGATTTAATGTTCGGTCATTAGCTAAGCTACTCTACAAATAATTCATGAAAAACCTCAGCAGTGAACTCGAGTGGTAGAAAATACTCATAACCCTACCATAGTGTAGAGCCTTAAAATAAACCCTTACAAAAATCATCAATGAGTTTCAAATGAGTTTCTAATGTATTCTTTAGATCACATTAGAAGCTCAATTGCAACTCATTGATAATTTTTGCAAGAAAATCTAGTCATATGTAGAATATAATCAAATAACATATAGTTAATCGCAGCACTCTTCGGTTTGCAAGTGACAGTGATGATACGAACTCTAAAAATTGTTGGATACCCCATACCTTCATTGTAAAGTTGATTATCTTCGACCAACTCTGACGATGAAACAGTGGCGGAGTTGCAAGTGTACCTCCCCTTTTATACGTGATATTGATTGCATTCGAGGGTTGCATACACAATCATTATAGGAATCTCGTTAGCCTCCTTTTGAAGTTTGGAAGCAGTTGAAGCGTATCTGAAGAAGAAGAATATATATATATATATATATATATAAACTTTCATTCGAAGCAAAGGATCGGCTACATGGAAAATATTAGAAGCGTTTGATCAAAAACGCGGCCGCTCCCTCAGTCGGCATGGAACATAAGCCGCAGGGACGGGTGGGCTTTGGCGAATATTAAATCGCGTTACGGGCCTGCATCCAAAGCTGTAATTCGGTAGCACGACCCAGACCACTATCTTGAATCCCGCGAGACGGATCAAAGACCCACGCTTCCTGGCCGTTCCTAGCAATCCGTTCATTTGGCAACAACTCGTCTTACAGTTGTGGCACCTACCAGAAGATCGACTCCGTGTTCGCTGGAGCGGTCGTTAATCTATTTATTGATCATCTCCGCTTTGGGTCGGACAAAGACAATTTCTGGCAGATATGAGTCGTACATTTTTATGCATCTCCGTATTTTTTCACTGTTCATACCGCTGGGAACGTTGCCAATGATCGAAACTTTAAAACTGCATTCGAGGTCAGAT